TTGACTTGTACATCCTAACTTTGACTTATACATCCTAACTTTGACTTGTATACATTGGAACTTTGAATTGTACATTGTAACTCTGACTTGTACATTGTAACTTTGACTTATAAATCCTAACTTTGACTTGTACATCCTAAATTTGACTTGTACATCCTAACTTTGACTTATACATCCTAAATTTAAATTGTATACATTGTAACTTTGACTTGTACATTGTAACTCTGACTTCTACATTGTAACTCTGACTTCTACATTGTAACTCTGAGGCCATAATAAAAATATTCCTAGATTCTCATCCCTGCCCGCCCTGATTTTTTACCACCGCCTCGATTTTTTTTTTCTGTTTTTTTTTTCGTCTTAATTCTGATTGGGATCGGTATTCATCTACCATTCTACTTTCGTTTTAAATCCTGCGAAGAAGTCGACATGATTTTGACAGCTGAAAAGATGGTAATTGCTGTAATACATGCGTATATATTTTAAACAAGGTTCGTTGGTTGAAAAAGATTGGTGATGATGTGGAGTAAGAGATAATTGAACCTTTACTATGATTTTTATTCGGGTATTGTAGATAAAATTACACCAATTGACCAGGTCAATAAAAAAATCTGCAAAATTGAAAAACTAAAAAATATAAAAGCCACCCGCCCGCCTCAATTTTCGAAAAAATTCGGATGAGAATCTAGCAATTTATTTATTATGGCCTGACTTGTACATCATAACTTTGACTTGTATATCATTACTTGACTTAGACACTTTAACTCTGACTTGTACATCCTAACTTAGACTTACACATCGTAATTCTGTTCCTCTGATTCCTCGTGGATATCCAGTTCCTCTAAGGTGGACTCCATATCAAGTGCATTTATTTCAAGCTGCTTCATTAAAGTTTCCCTCTGAAGAAAATTAATATTCAGATTATTGATTAATCTTTTATATGAAATGACAGATATCAAAATGAAGACAAGATCACAACAATTAATTGTCATTATTAAACTAAGTGTATTGTTATATTAACAATGGCATAAGCCTAAAATTCAGCAAAACGCATTGAGATTTACAATGTCAAAAGCTGAAAAACTCTTTGTATTGAACAACGTCAGAAGAGTAAAGTCAATCTCGGTGTAGAACTGAATTGTCAGAAGCTGAAAACGGAGATCAATGTATTACATGCATTAAGATTTACAATGTCAAATGCTGAAATTCAAGCTCTGACTGAATTATAAGAATTTCAATGTTGTATGCTAAAATTTGAGATCAGAGTATCGAGAATTGGCTGAAATCCAGCTCCATGTATGCTGGAGTATTAATTTACAGTGCTTAATTGGTGTTTTCTTTTACATCAATGCCTAAATCATCTTATATATAAATGATCTGTCTAGCTCTTTTTTTCTGAAAGCTGTTATGAAATAAATACATGTAAATAAGAAATAAAATCTCTATTAAACTACCAAATTGTTGGTATTACCAGAAGTACATTTCTGACAGATTTGAATTACTGAAAATCATTACAACCTGTAGAGTGAGAAATGGAAGATTGAAGAATTTGTGGAGATATTTGAGACCAAATCCATTCCTCATGGACGACTCAGCATATCTAACAATGGCTGATCCCATAGGCCTGAAATACAGAATTATTGATGATGAATCAGTATACCTAACAATGGCTTAACTCATAGGCCTGAAATACAGAAATATAATGATGACTCAACATATCTAATGATGGCTGAGCCCATAAGCCTGAAATACAGAAATATTAGTGATGACACAGCATACCTAACAATGGCTGAACCCATAGGCCTGAAATACAGAAATATTAGTGATGACTCAGCATACTTAACTATAAACCGTCATTTCACAGTAACTCAGTACTGCTCTTTTGTAGGGCAAAATGATATAGTTTGGTGAAATATGACGTAAAAGTAATTCTTAAAGATACGTCATTTAATTTTTTGTCAACAAAAACTTCCCCAAACGTTATTATTTTCCCCTGCAAAAGTGTAGTACCACAGTAACCATGAAGTAGCTGATGGCTTACACCATAGGTCTGAAATACATAATTATTAGTGATGATTCAACGTACCATACAATGGCTGATTCCATAGGCCTAAAATACTGAGTTACTGTTGTTTCATCAATTTTCGTGGATTTTATAAAAATGACGTTTTCAAGGATACGTAATTTCATGGACAATAGCATTGCTTATACAAATGAATAGCATATTTCTTTATTCAATGAACATTTAAATTCGTGGATCTGCTCAACAATGAAATCCTCGAAAATTGGTGCTCAACAAATATTAATGAAACCACAGTATTAGTGATGACTCAGTACAGTGGACCCTCATTTATCCGGACGCTTTGGTTCCCAGTCAATTTGTCCGGATATGTGAAGCATCCGGATATCTGAATCACCACTTAAACAAGACAGAATAACATTTTAAAATTTTGTTCCAATGAAAGATCGTCCGGATACTGAAGCATCTGGATATCTGGCGTCCGGATATCTGAGGGTCCACTGTATATCTAATGATATACTGGGTAATAATGAATAAAAATTTTTACAATTATTTTCATAAATCAGTGCAATAATGTTTCACTTCTACTAATAATTCTGTGAGAAAATATCAAGCTTTTGTCTTCCAGGATTGTGCCTTATTCCTAATTACATTTCTAATGCATACGAAAATAGCTGCCTTATCTTCCAGCACTGTTTGTGCCCTCTTACTAATTACCTTTCATAATGCATACAGAAATAGCGGGCCTTATCTTCCAGCACTGTGCGATGATGCCCCATATCTCGATGGTTTCCCAGCACTAGGACAGGAATGTGAACCGGGATTTTCTCCATTTCCTTCTCCACATAATTAAAGGTCCTAAAAACACAGCATTGTGAAGCTATCAATCAAATATCTTTAAATTTTATACCTATATAAAATTATTTACAAGTTATCAGGCCAAGATACATGTAAATACATTGTGTTTCCAGTTCCCTGACTGACCCTAAAATATTATGAGCCAACCCTGAAAAATTTGTCTGCCAATATATCTCTGGGAATTAACAAATCCCGTTTTACTACTAGAAATCCTAATCTGGAGATCACTTAGGATCTGTGCTTCAGAAAATGGACATCCTACACACAATAATCGAAAATGTTTTTCCCTGTTAAATTTAAATAAAATATGTTTCCCTTCCTATCTTCCCATTGTTTTCTGCTGAATTTCCATTGACTTGTGATATTGTTCCATAGTTTTTCTTTTATATGAGATGTACTATTTTGATATCTTCACTGTTTTGAAATGACTATCCATGATTGATTTTTCTGGGGGGGGGGGGTCAAACTAGTTATTCCTCTTTTCTGACCATTGCTTTAGGTGTCTTACCCATGTATCCATTGTTGAGACTTTATCCTCATTGCCTTTTCTGTTTGCTGCTATTCTCGTCTTTGTATCAATGATTTCCCATTGTTTTATGACAATTGACCATTTTGAGGTGACTTACAATTATTTGATATGTCTTATTGTGTGATAGATTTTAAGATGATATACCCCTGTTTTGAGATGACACACCCCTGTTTTGAGAAGACTAACCACTGTTTTCAGAAACGATTAACCCCGTGTTTTGATCATGTTGATATGACTAACACCCCCCCCCTTTTTTTTTAGGTGACTTACCATTGTTTTGTTATGTCATACATAAGGATAACTCCATGGGTTCCTTTATACACATCTATGAATTCAGCATCTAAGCTAGGCTCATCAGATTCCTAAAATATATTTGGTAAATTTTAAATCCTTTCATATTTATCATTTGAATGAAGATAAAGTAGTAATCTGAAGTTGTAGCTTAATTATGATAAACACTTTACATAATGTTTTAATGCATTGAATACCTATATATTACAATTTTTAGAAAATACACACATTTATGTCACACATGTACTTTTGCCAAAATTAAAGAAAACAGTCCATTTATAAGGAATCAATGACATCCGACGTCTTGTCGAAAGAGTTTTAGACCATAAAGTACTGACTATTACCAATTCATTACTGAGGTTAAAGTCCATGAAGGACTAACTCATACAGCGCCGCCTCAAGAGTATTCGCGAAAAAAAAAAATGGCCAATTTTTTATTTTTAAGTTTCATTTTAAAAATGATTCTTACCCCATTATTCCTCGATTGTTGATTTATTTAGAGTTATCTCCCTATTCTTAGCACATGACCAATGACCTAATCTGATGACGTATCACTGTTTTCGTCTGCTATTTTTATCGTTGGGTGAATTCCAATATGGGACGCAAGTCAAAAGAATTAGCAATGAGGTTATGTAAAACTGGTCGTTGATTTAAAACAAGAGGGACTCAGAAACTGTGAAATTGAGAGATTGTTGAATTTACCTAAATCAACAATTCGGTCTATATGGACACGATTTATGAACAACGGAAATGTTGAAAAAATGCCTCGAACCAGCAGACCTCCATAAAGTTACAAAGCAGGCAGAGAGTAGACTTTTGGACTCGTAGAAGTAATCGTGAGAGACCGCTGCGAGATATTACTGCGGATTTAATACAGGGGGACCAGTACACGTTCACCATAAGACTGTCTAACGAATTACATAGGAACAAGGTTTTCAGGCGAGTTGTGAGGAAGAAAATGGTCGTGAGGAATGTAAACTATAAAAGAAAACAACTTTCGTGGTGTCTTGCGAGGAGGAGATGGACAGTGCAGAATAAATGGAAGCAAATTATATTCAGTGATGAATCACAGATTGTGATCGGACAAAATAATCGTGCATATGTGTGGCAATCTGCAAATGAGGCTTAGAATCCACAGTGCATGTGTCCTCGACCTAAGAAGCGATCGAGTGTCAATAATGATATGGGGTTGTATAACATGGCATGGCATCGGAACTTTATGCAAAGTTGATGGAAATATAAATGCTGTAAAGTACCAAGAAATCCTGGAAAACAATCTCTGGCCTGTTTTAGCCCGTCATTTCCCAAACAGAACTTACCGGTTTCAGGACGATAATGCCCCTGTGCATCGAGCACGAATTATTAAAGAATATAAACATGACAATGATATAAACTGTTTGACCTGGCCTGCCCAGTCACCAGATTTAAACATAATAGAAAATATATGGCTTTGCATAAAAAATGATCTTCAAAACACTGCCCGAAACATAAAAACTCCAAATATACTTTCAACGCCATTTACGATCTTTGGACTTCCTATCAGCCAAATTATGTCCAGAATTTGTACAATTCACTTCCAAGGAGAATTATGGCAGTAATTTGACCGAAAGGTTGCTTGACAAAATATTAAAGTAAGTGTTTTTAATTTTTTTAATATTTATTTCGCCCCAAAACTTTTGAGACGGACTTTGTTTATAACATCAGCCATTTTGTTTTTCCGCGAGTACTTTTGAGGTAGCGATGTACCTCATACCTCTTCCTTAAATACTGAGTTTTAGTTCATTAAGGACTGACTATTACCTCTTCATTACTGAGTTTAAGTCCATCCATTTTCTTCCGTTTCTTTCCTTCATACAACTCACACTTCCACTTTGACCACATCATCTGTCGTCTTGTAATTCCACTGAATGCAGCAAACCTGCAACAGGCAGTCTTCAAACATGGTAATAAAATACATGGCAGTATAATTATAATCTTCATTACAAAAATTATAATTATAATACTTTAATTATAACTGTTGTTGGTCTTGGTTCTGTGTCAGAAATCAGAAATTCTACAGTGGGAAGATATATTTTAATTTTACTGACCTGAATTTCCTCAGTAGGGAGATATATATAATTTTACTGACCTGAATTTCATTAGACGGGAGATATACATAATTTTACTGACCTGAATTTCATTAGACGGGAGATATATATAATTTTACTGACCTGAATTTCATTAGATGGGAGATTATACATAATTTTACTGACCTGAATTTCATTAGAGGAGATATACATAATTTTACTGACCTGAATTTCATTAATAGGGAGATATACATAATTTTACTGAGTTGAATTTCCATTAAGGAGATATATAATTTTACTGACCTGAATTTCGTCAGTGGGGATGTATTCTTCATGAAATTTCTGTCCTTGTAAACGATAAAACAGACATGACTTGCCCACAGTCCTGTCTCCTTGTACTATTTTCACTGAAAAATAAAATATGTAACACTGACCCATCAAGACAGAATGAGATTTATCAGTGTTTATCAGTATTCCTATTTATAACCTTTAGAAAGTACATGTATAAATCTGTAAAATATTATTGAGGAATATCATATTCAATCTTTTAAAGAAATTACATGTAATACTTACTATTGTACTGGACTAACCTTTGGCAAACTTTCTTTGCAGTTGAAGATCCCATTAGCTGCATTCCTGATGGTGTGTTCATTAATAGGGAGATAAACATAATTTCCCCCATCAGGCGCCCCACTGTTTCCCAATAAGATATATAATATATTACTGACATCTTCTCTGGATACCCTTAGCAGCAAAAGCAGTCTGCAATAGATAGAACCATTTAAATAAACCAAGCTGATTTCATGTTTGGTGTTATTTTCACTGAAAAATCGATTAACTAACTTTATAACCTTGTCACTCATCAAAAACTAATGAGATTTATGACTGATCCTTAACCCCCGCTTTTATATTGTGACTTGTGCAGGGGAGAGTCAAGCGGAGGCCATATTGAAAAGTGGGAATTTAGCGACACCAGCTGGTGTCGCAACTCTGCCTACCTTATACAACTTTATTTTGCTGAGCTAACTGAGACACGAGAAATCAGTAAAAACATTATTCTCCTACTTGTAAATTGTCATTAATACGGTGTGTTCGCCATTTAAATGGTCCTATTACCAACAAATGAAGCATCACTTCCTAATAATGTTGCCTCCTTGCCATAGTACGTAATCTTCTCTGGATACCCATGGCAGCAAATTTACTGACAACAACTCAGAACTCGATTTTAATTATTCAATTTTTTAAGAATTTCTTTTTGAATTTTCATTACATATAAAATACTTTGATCAAGGTATTTGTAATACCTCTGAGTAAAGCTATATAGCTTTATCAAGCTATATACCTTTAAAGTGTGTATTCCCTGGACACATGAATCAAGCAAGTTTGGTCAACACAGCCAGGCTTTTACATTTATGTTAGTTGGAGCTGGTCTTGCTCTGATAACTTAAACTTGGTGACTCAAATGGAAAATATAGATCAAATTTAATATAAAACAGGTAGGCCACTGTGTTTATGCTGAAATAATTGCACATTAAGACAAAAATGATAAAATAGCCACGGGCAACGAAGTTAGTGAAAATAATGAACAAGTACATGCAGGTATATTGGTATAAATCAGTATTATAAACATGCACATACTCAATATTTACATTAACTTCCATTACCCGTGAAAAATTAAATAACGCTATCTTTAATATTTCATTCAAGAGGTTATGTCGAACTTGTTAAAAGAAATTTAAATATCAGCTCAACATCAATAAAGGAGAATGTGTATAAGTCATTAGTTAGACCCCAGTTGGAGTACGCAGCACCTGTCTGGGACCCCTACACCCAAAAAGACACCCATAATCTGGAAATGGTCCAACGACGTGCTGCACGCTATGTAAGCAATAGGCATGGAAACAGGTCAAGTGTGGACAGCATGATACAACATCTGCAATGGCAAACACTGGAAGAACGTAGGCGAATTGTACGTACTCGTCCTGTTTTATAAGATCGTTCATGATGAAGTTGCCATTACCAAGCATGACCGACTTATCCCACCACTACGTCGATCACGACATACTCACCAAGAAGCCTACCAATTACCATCTTGTAAAAGTGACTATAGAAAATTCTCGTTTTTCCCTCGTACCATCAAAGAGTGGAACCACCTACCACCAGAGATTGTCATGGCAAAAACACTTGAGACCTTAGGTCTCAGGTGACCACCTATATGCCATGAATCATAATTAATATTTTAACATTTTAACCTTTTAAATTTTTATGATTTTGGAACTCCATGCGCACCACACATGCCATAATAATCAACTAGTTGATTGTGGGCAGTACATGGCAGAAGCAGAAGCAGAAGCAGAAGAAATTTGAGGAAACTCGGGATATCGACTACGTTGTTGTCATCAATTCTACATACCTGTCAATAAATGAGTTCCATTTTTTGAAAGTAATGCCTTGTATGAATAAGATTTCATCCTTGTAAAGTACATGTACAATATCTTGTGGACTTGATGTGAAGAAAAAAGAAAAATCTGGTGGGTTGTTCTCAGCTCCGAGCTCGGCCTCAGTGGAAAAAGCGAATAATTGCACTTCGAACCCGATCGCAGAACGTACGCTCAACTAGGACCTTAGGTCCCCTGCTCAGTTTACGACTTTCGGGCCTGTTTACTCCGCTACAAAATGTAGTGCGTTGCATACGTAAAGTGAACATAGAATAAATCGTAATACTGTGAAGCCTTAACAGTGTAAAAAAACCCAGAAAATTTATTTTTGTCGAAGGAATAACCATCTGATGGGTATTAGAAATAGAAGGGGGTGCTGAGCAACATTAACTTCAATATTATAAGATATATGATATATAAGAGTTTAACATTTATGGATTATGTTGGGAGACCAGTGGTCTCCCCTATGATTTTATTGTTCAATGTAAGGTTATAGTATCTATATAACACAGTGCCTGACCTCTGATCTCCTTACTAATAGTAAGCGACTCAGAGTAAACGACGTACTCCAGTCTCTGGATTCGCAGATCTCTAACAAACGGTGGGGGGGGGGGATGATGAAGATCTTGCCCCCTACCACCTCTACCTCTTCATTTCGCTCGGACTTATCACAAATCCTTTAACATAATGGAATAATTATTTGTTAACTAGAGCAAAGCTCGTTATAGGTCTTCCGTCCTGTTTGACCGGAAGTAACTTTTATTTTTTTTTAAAAAAAGAGAGAACTGACGACTCTAATGATTTAAATCTTCCAAATCTATGTTGAAAATTGCAAAAAGTAAGCCATTTTTGCTACTTCCTATTTGACCGGAAGTGACGTCGATGGACGGAAAATTAAGTTTTATGCTTCAAGTGACAAATATTTCCCAAACAAATGTCAAAAACGGCAAAAATATTCAGTTTCGGACTACTACCGGTTTGGCCGGAAATGACGTCACAGGACATATTTTGATGACATCAGTAGATTTAACTAGAGACTTTCAAAAACTTTGGTTCTTTGATGTATTGTATACTTTTTGAGATACATGGAAAAAAACCCCTCTAGATCCCTTAATTTAAGAGTCAGTCCTTTCTCCGAGATATCATTCGAAAGATCTTTTAATTCTGCACAAATAATGTTCATAATGTTTTTACAAAATATTTTTAGTTTAGAAGATAAAAAGCAAAATATGAGTAATTTTTAGCTCTTTTAAGAGTTCTAATATTTGACCCCTATATAGTGCCATTTTGAATAAAGAAATCGAAAAACAAAAACCGATGTGCACAACTTTGATCCTTCTGTTATCTAAAACCAGTAAAATTTTGCTCCAGCTTAAGCCGTCTCCGAGCCTTTGTCTGGAAACGAAAGCCATAAATTTTCGTTTAAAGGGAAATAAGCAAAACCGGAAGTGACTTTTTAAAATGTTAGAGAATATTCTGATCTAGTTTAGTAACGTCTATTAACTCTGAAAGTTTGAGCGAAATCCGTTGAGAAATGAGTGAGATATGAGGCTTCAAAGTTGGCGTCTAGGAAGTGGAAGAAAAAAAAAAGAATCCAACAGAATCAGTAGAAGGTCTTCCGTTGGAAACGAAAGACCTTAATAAATTATTTAATGTTTCCTTTGTCTTCCTTATGAGGTCATACTTCAATAGGTGACCTCATCACTTTAACACTTTTTAGTCTGGCGCGGATCCAGGATTTGAAGTTAGAGGGGGCGCCAAAAATAGGCAATGGGGGCCGCCTAAGGCCCCGGTGGGTCCAGGGCAAAGCCCTGGTGGGGGGCTACTAGCTCCTGGATTCTAGAGATTTTGTAGGGTAAAAAGAGGTCTACCAAGTACATATTTACATTTTCTAGACGAAACTGTGATTTACGTTAACCAATGTCTTCGGTCTATAACACACCTGGCCGTGCCGACAAATTGAATACCGCGCGTTGGTTAACCATGGTTAACTTTGACAATTTTAGGGGGGGGCTGGGTGCGCCCCCCTTAAATCCGCCACTGTTAGTAAACCCCTGATTTTATTTATCTTACAAAGAAGATGTACTCCCTGTATTGCGAAGTTTGGGGTTGCATGGAGTTAATCTCCTCCCCTTTCCCTGGAATTAACACATCAAATTCATAAATCATAAAACTACATTTAGAAATAAAACTTTTAAAAATGCACCAATTGTTATTTACTTTTGGGATAAATATACTCTATTTGAAGACAAGCAAGTTGAATAATCCTTCAAATTCCAATTACATACTGTAGTGAAATTCCTTTGATCGAGTTTTAAAATATTTATATAATCAGGGTTTAAA